CCACATAACATATTATTGTAGCACTTACACTGATTGGTTTTGTGACAATATTAATGTGTAATATCTCACAAAAACTAAGCTGCAACTGCTGTTGCCTGCAGTTAGTTTGTGTTTGTTTAAAATACATTTTGTTGTCTTCTAACTGGTGTATAATGTTAGCTGTAGTCTACACCTTCACTATAGCACTGACATGAGGGAGAGTATCACATTCAGTCCTGACAGGTCTGTATTGAACCGGTCAGATAAAGGGTCAGTGACAGTGTCTGTGTGTGTTTTAGCTGTACTACTTTCATGATCTGCTTATTCACTTAAACCTGTGCTAGTGTGCACAGTGGAGTTGTCATATGAAAAAGGGACAAAGACAGCTTAAAATATGTGATTGAATTAGATAATATTATTTGAATACTTATTTATTTCTTTAATTAAAATAATTTTACTCAAAATGAATCAAATGTTCTATTGGTTAGCAATGTAATCATAAGCTATGTTCCACATTTCTATGCTAAACATAATTAATGATTGTCTCAGATATGACAAAGGTCTTGTGCTTTCCCTGTAGAAAATCTCAAGGTTTGAAAACCTTTCCCCTCTTTTTCCTCAGCTGGGCTGGTGTCAGGCGCCACACAAGCGGAGCCGTGTTTCTTGTTCGTCACGTCATGCCCAGCAGTGGTGGTGCAGCCGGCACTCGGTGGTTTGTGCCCTCCGTGGGCGGGAGTTCAGACCTCAGCAGCAGCATGAGTTGCGTCTCCAGCGGAGCCTACGGGGCTTTGCAGCGGGCAGACTCCCTGGCATCCTCAAGGAGAGGGAGTTCTCTCTGGGACGACTCAACAAGGTGTTTGCTTCACAGTGGCTCAACCACCGGCAGGTGGTGTGTGGGACCAAGTGCAACACGGTGAGATGTCCTTAAATTTCAAACCTATATTTATTGGTTAGGCATACCCATGCGTAAACAACTTTCATGGCAGACAGGAGCACGCGTGTGTCTGCTTATCTCTGTCTCTCTGTTTAAATACGTGTCTCGTAAACTCCAGGGCGAACCAAACAAACACAAAGCAAACCCCACAGGACATGCAGCAGGGTAATACAGGACAGTACAAGGACACCGGACATGCAATATGCACCTGCCCAGATCCCAAAGCATCAGCGGCAACCATCCTGCAGCAGCGGGTCGGTATTGTTTGGTACCTCCGGTACTGTAAAAAAAAAAAAAAAAAGAGTAACTTGACGATTTTAGAATTTTGCCATCGACTTGGTTCTCGTGACATCCCTAGTCTCTATCATGAAACATTTTTGGAAACCCTGATGAGGGAGTAAAACATTACATTCAGCAAAAAGAGGTTGGGGTCATGGTTACAGGTGAAACAGTATGAACATTTGGTATCATGATTATAGTGACCAAAATTATCATGATTCTCAGTATTATTGCGGTACTGTTAAAATGTGCTACAAATTTCAAAAGTTGCCGATAAACAAACTATTGTAATATCACCAAGATTTACATAAACTCAATATATGTATTATCAATAAATAAAGTTTATAGTATTTTCATTACTTATTGAAGGTCACATTAAGTGCCGACGTTGGGACAGAATATCAGCGTTTGTTAAACGCATGCAATGTGGCGACAGTTGATGTTAGCATTTGTTAGCTATGGTCAGAGATTACTTACAGTTCTCCTGTTACAGCCCCCACCTGCCCACTGCTCCTTCCGCCATGTTTTATAACATACAACAAATGCGCCTGCATCTTGGAGACTTGCTGACTTCGGTTGATGCTGGAAATGACATGTAGAACTGATATGTAATAATAACCTGTTGGATTTATATTTATGTCCCTGGATAAATGGGAAGTTGCTTCTTCCCCAACAATGAGTTAAAACACAGCGTTTCGTCATAATCTCTCTCTCTCTCTCTCTCTCTCTCTCTCTCTCTCTCTCTCTCTCTCTCTCTCTCTCCTAGGTTATACTACTCAGTTGGAAGTTGTTGGTGTGATTCACCACCAGTTTAGCCACATTGTGCCTTTAAAAGCGAGTCGGAGATCATTTATTGGCCTTAACATTTTCAAATTTAAAAACTTTCAGTAGTCCACAGTTTTTCACATCCAGATTTGCTTTGGCATATTCTTTTAAATAATGAAGGCAGTCTAATAGTAGTCCTGCTCTAGCATTCAAAAAAGAAATGTGACAAGCTTCCTAGCTAATTTTAACATAAGGGTAATATCCATGCATTAGTTATTGACCTCTTACGTGTTTGACGCACATATTATCATTTACCTGTTTACGGTTTTTCTATGCTAACCATGTGTCTTACTGTTTTTACCCACAGCTTTTTGTAGCAGATGTCCTGACAGGGCAGATAACACGCATTCCCATGCTGAAGGACAGGGAGTGTCATGGTGGTGGCTCAGCAGCTGTGGGTGCGGTGGTGGCGGGCCGGCATTACTACCCCACTGGAGGCTCTCGCTCACGGATGGACCAGCAGGGCTGTGGAATCCATGCTATTGAACTCAACCCCTCGAGAACACTGCTCGCCACAGGAGGAGACAACCCCAACAGCTTGGCCATCTACCAGCTGCCCACATTGGATCCTGTCTGTGTTGGAGATGTAAGTGGTTTGGATTAGTTTGGTTTTACAAACATCTATTGGCGGGCTGCACTGAGGTCAGGGCGATGACCGTTGATTATTGTGATTGCCCAGTGAAAATCTGCATGCCCGTTTGCAGGACTGCACACACGTAGAATGGAAGCTTCCAATGTTATGTCAAATTCTGCCTGCTTGCCAGGAGCAGTAAAAACTTTCAAGAATCAGAATGAAACTGGGTCGGGTCCACCACTATCTAGGTAACAAATGGGACACACTTGCAGTTATGTTTCATGTTTGATGAGTTACTCAGGTCGGCCATTGTTTGTGTAGCTGTTCAAGACACTGATAACACAGATAATATTTAAATCAAAGCAGAGCTGGGGTTTATCAAAGAATTCCAGGAATGGTGTAGAATATGAAGATTATTGGTAGATCATTCATGCACCATGGTGGCATCAAGCTAAGCACACAACGTTGAACACAATTTATTGTTTTGCTTTTCTCATAGTAACATTTGTTTTTCAGGATGGCCACAATGACTGGATCTTCTCTATAGCATGGATCAGTGACAGCATGGCGGTTTCTGGTGAGTTGTCTTTATGACCTACCGTGTGTGAATGGGTAATACTAAGTGCAGGTCAAAGTTTTCTAATTCCAAGTCAGTCCTCTATGTTAACAATCCTATCTTTTCTTATGTCACTTTGGGATGTATTTAGTAGATGAACAGTTTTGGCAGTAATACACTGTGTATATTTAAATTCGTAGGGTCCAGAGATGGCTCTATGGGCTTGTGGGAGGTGACCGATGAAGTAATGAGTCAGGCTGAAAGGAGTCAGACAGAGGAGGCAGTACCCTCCTACGCCCACATCTCCCACCGTGCCCTCAAGGACATCCCAAAGGAGTGCACCAACCCATACAACTGTAAAGTCCGCGCTCTGGCCTTCAACAACAACCATAAAGTAAGGTTCCTTCTGATGCAGCTGTTGGGAAACCATGATCAAGAAAAGTATTGATCATTATGTGATGATCAGTGTTGATATTGTGGCGTCATTTCAAACAAATCGACATTTAAACTGTAGCGAATCAGAAATGTCCGCTGAGTCGGTGTCTTGTGTGTCTGTGCGTCAGCTCGCCAATGCGTTAGAGAGAGAGTTAGCGAGTGTGCAGTGTGATATCATCTATATCTTAACCCTGGTACCTTTCCCTTTACGTTCTGGGAGTATCATACAGAAGAATTAGCCAATTGTGATAAATTTGACCCGCCAATATCTTCTTATGAATTTTCTTAAATTTGTTCTTGAAGTTCAGTGTGTAAGATTTAGGTGACACACTCTCGCCCAAGGGCATGTGCAGGGTGTGCGTCCGTGTGGCTATGTCCACTAGCTTTGCCACTTCCGGTAGTGGACCTTTATGCTTAAACTGTGTAAATGACCTCGTTTCGAATCGATGAATGTTGGGGCACATGCGAACGGTTGGTGAATGAGGCCTATTAGCTTTTGTGCCCATTAGGGGATGTGTGATCTTGGAATATTATGGTTTTGGGTGATTTGCATTCTAATAAAAACAAAAGTTGATTTGAAGTAGCTGTTGTTTCTGGTTTCTTCTCCACAGCTTCACCTCAGCTTCAGTCATTTACCTTATTTCTCATCTTCTCATGCTATTTTTCTCTTTATAGGAACTGGGTGCTGTGTCTTTGGATGGTTACTTCCACCTCTGGAAAGCTGAGCACAGCTTGTGCAAGGTAAATTACACATTTGACTAATTATGAGGTGACGCATCTCCCCTGCTTACTGGGGTGATACATTCAACTAATTATAAATAGGAGGTGATTACAGCCTGTGTTTAGTTTCATAACATTTAGCTATGCCTGTTGGGTAGTACTAAGTAGTTCTGTGATTCCCTTAGATTTTCTTACATCTTTTAATGGAGCAAAAGTTTCCTTTTTCCAACTTGTGCTCAAATAACACAGAGAAACTTCAAAATGCTTCAAAAGGCTTCATTTTATGGTGTTTCCCTCCAGATACTGTCCACCAAGCTGCCTCACTGCAAAGAGAATGTGTGTTTGGCATATGGACAGGACTGGTCGGTGTACGCTGTGGGTTCTCAGGCCCATGTCTCTTTTCTGGATCCACGGCAACCTACACACAGCATCAAGTCTGTCAATTCCAGAGAGAGAGGAAGCGGTAAGTGATCTGTAAACATGTCGCACAAGCAGAGAGCTGCTGATCTCCCTCAACTACTCAATGAAGATGTTTGCATATTAAATACCTTTCCCATTTGGTCCCTTTTTTTTGCTCAATAGTTGTGGGTGTTCTGTCATTTCTCTGTTTTATAAATGATGTGTCAGAGCTCAGTGTTAGTACAGAGTAACTGTTATGGGATCTAGCCTTTAAGTTGGAGAGCACAAACAAACAGGGAGGGGTGGTGTTTACTTTTGAGGAGCTTTGCATTTAAAATATTGGTGTGTGTTTGTGCAGGAATCCGTTCAGTGAGTTTCTATGAGCACATTGTGACAGTTGGAACTGGCCAAGGTTCACTCCTCTTCTACGACATCCGGGCTCAGAGATTCCTGGAGAACCCTCTGAATCCAGCAGGGGGGTACCGGAAGTGCCCAGGAGATGGCATCATCAAGCTCACCACTGGAAAAGGCTGGCTGGTATACATTTTATTATCTATTTATTTTATTTTTTTGCATAATCTTCTTTATCATGGAATGATGATGAGCTACTGAACTGCAGGGTTTCAGACAAATGTAGTTGCTATACAATTATGTCAAAACAAACAAATCAATCAAACAGATGCAGATAAAAACATAACCTTCCTTTGCAGAGATAATTACTTACAGATTCTTAACATTTTACTTTCTTCCCTCCTCATCCCCCTCTCCTTGTCATTCTCAGAATCACGATGAGACGTGGAGGAGTTACTTCTCGGACATTCATTCCTTCCCCAATGCAGTGTACACCCACTGCTACGACGATTCTGGCACCAAGCTGTTTGTAGCAGGTGGACCTCTCTGCTCTGGCCTGCATGGGAACTACGCAGGACTGTGGAGTTAGCCCTCTTTCGTCTCCTCCACTGCCACTTCACCCTCGTCCAGATTTTTACTTTTACCAGTCCCTCCAATCCTCTCCCTCTTCCAGTCTGACGTGACATCACTGTCCTTGTGTATCCCGCTAACTCTCACTCTGTTTTGCTCACACGTGGACTCAGGAGCATGAATATTGTTCTTGTGTGTGTTTGTTTCCTCCATTATTATATCCCTCCTCCTGCAGTAATTCCTTTTGTTATTCCTCCTGCACTTCTCTGCTTTTTTTGGTTAATTTGTTTTTCCATATAAAAATGTACAAACATTTAACTAGTAATTTTCAAGAGCTGCGGAGTCTGCCACTGATGAGTAGTTTTGGAAAACATTAAGGATAAAGTTATACATATTCTCATAATTTAAAACATCCAACCCATGCACAGGGATTAGGCTATGGCCTTCTTTTGTACGTAAGGATAGTGTTTACCGTTGCTTTGTCTGTGATAAATGACGGTGTCTTTGTGAAATATTCGTGGAGTTCTGTTTTGTTCTTTCACTGAAAATGGATGGCAATAAGAGAGCGAGGCAGAGAGGAAGGAGGACTAAAGAGACGATTCATTTTTAGGGAGTGAACCTGACTGCAGTTTAATGGAGAATATTTACTGGTTGGAACAGCCCCTGTCCAGTTTCGCAACAATCACTGAGAAACTTCTCTCTTCTCCTGTCGGAAGTAAAATGAAGAAGCCAATCACAATGGGACTTTGTGTTCATAACTTTTCTCACTGAGATGATGTAAAGGAGAAATATTAAGATTGCTAAAATGCTGTGTTGCTGTTATGCTATGACTTAATCCCATCAAATGCTTATTTTATTTTTGTGTGATTGACAGGTGTACCCCTGCTGATATCCTTATTTTCGTTGTGTATCTATTTTCTCCTTCCTCACCTTTTTTCAAATGGTCAGGGGTATTTATATAAGCTTCTTTTGAATGATATGTCGTCTTTCTGCCCTCTGCTTGTATTCCGGCTCTCTTTGCCCAGAATGCTTTCAGCAGATTGGTCGAGTGCTGGAATTCTGAACTGTACCATTCTGTTGTTAGAGAAATCGCCCTAAGATTTTAAGTTTTGGTAGCAAGTGTCATCAGATATGATGACTGATAGAGGAGCCTTTAATCACTGGATTAAACCCCTCTGTGGTTCTGGGACTCCTCCACAGGAACTGGGGAGATGATAACGTGGTAGCTCACTTTGTTCTTGTCAACCAAGCAAGAAGAACTAATGAGAATTGTTTGGACTGTACTGAGAAGTTGGAGGCTACAGGCACATATCTGTTTGTCGTCACAGTTGTAAATGTTTCCCTTTTTTCCCCCCTTCTTTTTGTTTCAAGGAGTGAGTATTCTGCTCTTTTCCTTGTTTGGTAGAGGCAGGGTAGACTCAAGTTCTGTTTGGGTTTTTTTTGCCTTCAAGTCTTTCTGTGAAAGACTGCCACAGGCGATCATTGTTTTCCTTTTCTACATGGAACTTTCCACCGGTTTTCATGATAATGACAGAATTGAAAAAAGAGAAACTCCCCTGGATTATGACCACGAATTGAACAAATAACCAACACTTTAAAAGTGTATTTTATATATAAATGTGTATATGTATGTGTAAAATACATAGGGACAATTGCATACATTTGTATGTATATGTCTGAGGAAGTGTGTGGATTAATGTCTATTTGGTGATGCCCTGTTTTTTTTTATACACGCCTCATGAATGTTTTTACAAATGACTGAAACTGAGGATATTGTAAGATAAACATCTGGGGAAAAAACAAGCTATTAAATCTTTAAAAAGAGTAAATAATAAAAATGAAATGTATATTAATGTTACACTTGTTATTTTTTGAATGACTTTCCTTGGATTTTGCCTTTTACAAATGATCAACACAGCAGGTGATTCTCCACTCAGACACGTTCACAACAACACAGATACCTCCAGAGAGTTCAGGAAGAACTTCTAAATTCCATTGCAGGGATCATATGTCACTACTTTTGAGATATTTGAATTCCTTTACTTTATCTTTCCAGTTATGCATCCATTGTGTGTTAGAAACGTCATCGAGAGGTGAAGCCTCTGGAGAATCTCACATGGGCTCACTGACATGCAGAGTTTTTATCAGGGGGCTGGCAGGAGAAACTCACTCGGCCATTTGTGTTCTCACATAACAGTCACACAGGATTTATCCAGGACACTATCAGGAGTTCAGTGCTTGTCTGAAAGCAGCTTCTCTAACAATTAATATGACAATTTGTTAAGATGTTTTATCTTTTATGAAGCAGCCTATAGAGCTCAGTAAAAAAAGGAATGACTTCATGTGATGAATCAGAAATTGTACGTGGATGTTGACCCCTCTATGGCCCCTGATCTAGAAAAAAACCTGGAATCCGCCACTGGCTCTGTCTGCAGTTTGAATGAATGAAGATGCATTTTCAAAGAACACAACAGAAAAACCAACATTTCTAAATAAAAGTGTAAAAGGTGCGTGTTGACTGTGGAGAAGTTGTGATCCGAGGAGCGGAGCCGAGCATCCACCGCGGCAGAGCACGTCACGTGACCACCTTGTCTGCTGCTGGCGATTGAAGCGTGATAGCAGGTAATAAAAACACCATTCCTACCACGTTTATAAACTTTACTTTCTCCGTCTCGTTGCCTTTAAACCACGCACTCGAGTGTGTTGTGGCTGAAATGGCCGGACGCCGACTTATCCGCGGAGCTTCCTCGCTGTTGTGAGGGATGTCTTTCGCAATTTTTCTGTTGTCTTGTTTCCCGGCGAGTAATGTCGGGACGGGGATTGTGCTCCGCTGCGAGGCCTTTTTCTCCCCTCACATTTGACACGGCTCTGTTGTTTAGCCTGTTAGCATGTGTTGATGTCGCGGACCAGCCCGGTGTCCCTGCCCTCCGTTAGATAACCGTACCCGTCTATTAATACCCCCGTGGGACTAGAAAGCGAGCCAGGTCCTCGGCTAACAGCTCCGAGCAGATTTAGATAGCATCGTTGGCTAGCTCCAGCCGTACCGCATCGTTTATTCACGGCAGCAGCGTTAGCATGTCGATGGCGAACGTCGGTTCATGCTAGCGAGGACAAAGGGGGACCCCCGGTACCAGCCACACTCAGTCGGTCAGTGTTGTCGCGTGAGACACAGCGGGAAAGCGGGTTGTTTTTGTGAGGCAGACATGTTCCGTTAACTGTGAGAGAATTAGCCCCAAAGGCAGGTTAAAAAAACAAGCAGGCTAGCCTTACAGCTACATGCTCACGTTAGCATCGATTCAAAACAACTCTCCATTGGCTTTAGCACTAAATTATAATAGCTGTCAGCTAGCTAGCTAACATCAGATTGATGTAAGTTTATGTTAAAGCGTAGCAACATATAACTGGGCGGAAATGGACTCTGTGTTTTTTTGTGTGTGTCCTGATAAATGATGAACAATAGAGAGGTTCACACTTACTGATGGATTGTTTTGTTATTGTTTGTGTCGAACACGGACACACACTTGCACTGATTTGTCAACATTTGGTTCATGAGCCGTGAACCGCAGCTGCTGCAGGTGAGTTCACGCTCGTGGAAATTAAACGGATTCGAAGATTTTCCTCTGAAATTACATTTAAAGCCACTTGATCCTTCTGCATTAGTTAGCTTTGTTCCGCCCAGCAGCCAATGGGAGCAGAGTGTTTGGCAGCGTCACTCAGACACTGTAAACTGGATTGCTATTGTTCGCTGATATCAAACAAATGGGTCAGTGGGGATATCTATAGTTAATATTTTACTAAAGGACACCACAGTTAGTCTTTGCAGCACAAATTCAGCCACAGGGTATATTGTGTTACTGTGTTGAGCAGCCACTTATTCCATGTATTTGCAGGTGGATAAAGCCACATGTGTGTTTGTCATTTTAATGTTCAGTATTTGCTTCTGACAATTATAAGTTTGTGCTTACCCTGGATCGCACACAACTGGCAGTGAGGTACAAATTGTTCTGGGCTTAGTGTCAAATACAGAGAAGTTATTCAGCATTTCACTGCAGTAGCTTAGTGTTTAAGGTGTGTGTGTATGTGTGTAAGTATAATCTCTGTTGCCCTGAACTATCAAGCGACACAAGGGGACTTGGGGTCAGGGTGTGTAGTGTTTGTTCTGCTCCACACACACACTGTGGTCTGTGGTATTTGTAAGAGGACACTGGGTCGCTCTCCTTCCTTGACCTAGATTTTCAGCAAAGCTGTTGCATCACCAGGCCACCTGTGTGTCTCTCAGCTTCAATAAGGGGAGTATTCATTAATGTGCAATAAGGCTTAGCTATGCTCACACTCCCACAAGAGAAAGTATTGAGTCTGTGGTGTAAACATTGTAAAGGAACTATGTGTCTGACATAATCTGTGGATATATTTCAGTAATCCTTCCATGTTCCTTGTCTTCTTTTACAGATTTTTCTATTTTGTACATACAGAGTTTTGTATATACTGTATATGATGAGCTTGCTGGGCGGCGACAAGGCCCGGGGCCCTCGGGAAAAGGTGCTGCCCTCTGCCACTCACACATCTCAACCACAGAAACAGATACAGGTGAGACACAACAATAACATGATAATGGGGGAAAAAAACATTGTGAGAATAAAATGAGATGCAAACCAGTGGGCACAACTACTCGTGCCAACTAAACCACAGTGCAGTGCAAACATTATTCATAGGTCAATATCAAAAAAGGCTTTCTTTTTTGTTTGCTAGTGCCACACACTTATAATGGCATCAATAGGAGGCACTTGCTCAGTAACAATTTCTTTGTTGTCAGTGATCCTAGACCATGAAAAGCAAGCTAAACAATTGAATTCATCCTCTATACACTCTCTTCTCTTCTATGTTTCTCTTGTTAACCAAAAGCTTACCCTTTGGTCTCATTGTCTTTGTGTTGCAGGCTACTGCAGAACAGATCCGGCTTGCTCAGATGATTTACGACAAGAATGATGCTGACTTTGAGGACAAAGTTAACCAGGTCAGACATTTTCACATGTCACATTAGGAAAAACATAGGTGTAACTAATGAAATGACTTACTGGGAAAGTAACAGAAACACCACTAATGTTACCTGGAAGACCTGTGTCTATCCTACTGTGACAAGTCAAAGGGTCTTCTGTGGAAAAAAGGCCTATACAAGGCTTATTGTCTGATTACTAAGCAGCGTCAGGCTGTGCTGACACATTCTTCCATAATTGTGGTTCTCTATGTTAACACATATATATAAAATAATAACACTAATCATGATATTGATTTGAAGTCATATCGCCCAGTCCTACTTTTAATGATAAACTTGACAATTCTAATGTGATGCATGTGTATTGCTTTCTACAGCTGATGGAGGTGACTGGGAAGAACCAGGACGAGTGCATGATAGCGCTCCATGACTGCAATGAGGATGTTAGCAAAGCCATCAACTTCCTCCTGGAGAGTACCTCTGACATGGTAAATTACATCTTCTCAATTAATTGAAAAGAGAGAAAAAAAAGTCCCCCATACCAGTCTATTGTTTAATTTCCACTATATTAACAGGAGACAACAAACAGAAACTGTCCAAAAAGAAATCTATGACGTATAGGGTAATAACTTATTTTTACTACAAAAAACTTCCAGAAGAAACAGTCTTTACAGCTTTATTTTTATTCATAGCAGAAATTTCACATGTCATAATAGGAAAAGCACAAGTTCTACTGATACAATAGTGATGGCTTGAGAAATACCAGGACCTTGAAACTGAAGCAATTTTTGTTATTTACACACATGCTTTTCTTATTGTGATATGTCAAAGTATCTGCTGTGAAAAAAGGCCAACAGTGTATTGAGCATATGTTAAAATACAATTTGCTAGAATAAACAAAGAATAAATTGCATCCCCTGAGGAAGCTATAACCCTAAAACATGATGGGTCTAATGTTCTTAGAACAAAAACAAACACGTAATTCGTTCCAGTGAACCCTTAAATTCATTATGGTCACAGATTATGGTCATCATAGAGGTGGCTCCCAGATGGTGCAACTGGAGAAGAGCAGCTGCAGCATCTGACTCAGAAAACTGCGGCTATTCCGCACACTTACATGGAGACGTTCTGCTCCGCTGGCAAACGTCACACACAATTTTTAATCATCATTGATTATTTTTAAGTCCAGCATGCCTCACATTAAGTTACTGCTGTATGGCTCTGCATAAAGTTGAAAGAGGCTTTTCTTATTAGTGGAATCTATGTTCTGGTAGAGCGCTCAAAGTCCAATACACAATCCCTATAGTACAACTAATAAATTGCATATAAAACAAAATACATGTCATTGTGCAGCCTTTGAAAAATCTGTATTGATTAAAATAGAATAATCTCTAAAAGTTGCTCAGAAACTGCCCAAGAGCAAAATTACAGAAATATTAAACATCTGTGTTTGTCTGTTTTCCTAGGTAACCAAAAATAAAGGATTCTGTCTCGTAAAAAGTCAAAACCAAAGTTGTGTTAGATTTAATTTTGTTCTGTGTATGTGGTTGTAAATAACAAACATGGCACTCAAATTGAATTCAGTAAAATCAGTCAATTACTTTTTGGCACTTTGCTCTTTCTAACATCAGATGCACTTCTTTTCTCCCTCCATTGCTCAGAGTGTAAAGTCAAACAAGCTCCCAAAAAATCTGCCAAACACAGGAGTGTTCTACCTGTGTGCTTCGTGTCTGAGTGTCCCAGCATTTGTGTAGAATACCAGATGGCAAGGAGAGGCTGTAGGGTGTGACTGGCAACCAGGAAGCATAACACATTGTTGGTTCAGTTTTATGGAAATCTAAAAATAGCAAGAAGCTGGTTTTCCCTTTTACATGGAAGACACTATTGTTTTGGCACACACTTCAAACCTCTGATAACATCTGCTTCTTCTGTTCTCTTTAAGATCTTAACTGTTATAAACAAAACAAATGGTCATGGCTGGCTGTAAGAGTAGCTGTAATATCAGAGAAGAGTTGCCTTTTAAATAATTAACACACTATGTTCTGAATCTAAGTCAATTCATTTTGATTGTCTGTCAATAAGATGTGTAATATTGTTATTTTCTGTCTTTGCACGACACAGCTGTATGGTGCGCACTTACATAACAAGTTGGTCAAAAATGTAGCTGCTATCACAGCTTTTCTAATCCCAGTTATGTTCGAATGTGTTTATCAACCAATAGCAGAGCGCCTGAGGCTACTCCCGCATGCTACAACTGTGAAATGTCATGGAAATGAAGGCAACTTAATGTTTTTCAACATTAAAAACCTCTCTGTCAGCTTTGCTCTCTAAAGCACATTGTCAGCATGACATCCTGTTTTGCTGCTGGCTAGAGATTTATAAGAAAATGCAATCAAAAACATTATTCTATTATGCTAGGGAACTGTGTTATGTTGTTGCATGTACTTGTTTTAACTCCCTGAATAGATTTTTTCCTCTCTGATGTCATTCTTGTTCTTTGTTTAGACCTCATGGGAGACGGTGGGGAAGAAGAAGCCGCTCGTGAAGGAGGGTCCATCAGAAAGCAAGGAGAACAAGGAGAACAGGGAGAAGAGAGGAGAGAGGGAGGCGAGTAAAGGCCGCGCGGCTGCTAACCGCAGGGGCAAGGGGGCCAGTCGCAGCCGCCAGGGTACGGACGAGTTTAAACTTAATATGAATTCACATCTACTGTAGAATCCTCAGCCTCTCAATATCACATTTGATTATATCATATTGTTAATAATGTATATTTCAATTTCACTCCACAGCGCGTCCAGAAGAGAATGGCGTGGAGGTGACACCAGTGGACAGAAGTTCAGATCGAGGTCGGAGAGTCAAAGGTGGCCGTGGTGAGCAGCTGCTCAGCAAAACACCATCACTGTGTCAAACGTTTGAGTACTTGTTGCTAATTTATGTGTGGATCTTATGCAGGATCTGGAGGCAGAGGTAGAGCACCAGCAGGGAACCGGTTCTCAGCCCAGGGCATGGGGTATGGCAACAAGAACACACGCACAGTCACAGGGCTCACAGTTAACTGAAGGTTCTTGCGTACCGTGGGCCCAGCCTACATCCATGACAATGTTAAACCTTACACCCCAGCCCATCCAACGAGCTCCCCATTGAATCAGGACAGCAGAAAGTCTACACATCTTCTTCTGCAGAATATAGACACATCTCTTGCGACTACACCTTGGTTATGAAGATGGTGCAATAACCATTGTCAACGCTGGTGTTTATTCCAAAAAAAAGTAAAAAGAAAAACTGTGTTTGTTTTCTGGATGAAAGTTGCATTATCTTACAACTGTTTCCACACTGTTACCTTTATCAAATAAAATAATGTTCTCATTGTGATTTCACCCACTCTCCATTGTAACTAATGATTATTGACTCTTCACCAGGACTTTCAATCCTGCCGACTATACCTCAGAGGCTGGTACAAGGACCACACAGAGTGAGGTGTGGGACACAGTGGCTAACAACAGTACAGATGGGACAGGTGAGCTCCAGTACACGTGTTGATCTTGACTTATAGTAGCACCTCATTTGCCTTGTGCACTCGGCCGCTCTACATGTGATATTTTATGCAAACGAACATAAGCTCCAGGTATCCTGCATCTTGTTAAACTAAATGCCCCACCCTATTTCAATTTGTGACTGGTTGGTTGTTTTCTAGTTGCCTGGAGGACCACCATGGATGACTGGACACCTGAGGAGTGGAGTGAGGATGTCAGTGTGAGTTGACACAAAGGCCATCACTCTACAGGAGATGTTTTTCAATCGCAACAGAATGTTTTAGTTTCACAGTTCTGTCTCTTGTGCCTCTGTATTCCTGCAGCTCTCTGAGACCAAAGTGTTCACCTCCACATGTGCAACTGCTGCTGAGAACCACATCACACCTGGGCAAAGGTATTTAACTGCCTTGTTAATAATATACACCCCCCGGTTCTCTTGTTGGAGTCTAACTTATTTACACAGCAGTTTCCAACTGTTCCATCCATTCATAAAGTTGGTCTGTGTAAAAAAATAATCATGGATGTCATCTTTTTGTTACTGTGAAGTATGTATGAGAAATAATGTCCATAAACAGGTTCTGCTTGTGAAGAGTCCATGTGGAGAACAAAAGAGGTGGAACACATTGACCGAAATACATTATTTGTCTGCATTCATATGCAGATAGCTGTTGATAGAGATTAGTCAAAATGTCATCTGGACCTAAAACACCTTAAATCACAAGTATCACTGTTTGTGTTTTATGTGGAGAAATGTTCGACTGGCGGACTCGTCAGACTGTAAACGACAAATGGAAGACAGAGGCTACATCCACACTTGAAAAGGCAACAACCCTGCTACAGATATGCCTGGCGTTCACGCCACTCTGGAGAATTAGAATGGCAAAAATGAAGATGTTGGGAAATGCTGTTGGCCTCACTTTAGTTTGAAAACTCTGGGGCTGTGTTTTACTCTGCATGGGCAGAAATGGAGATGTTTGGAAACATTGATGTGTACACTCACAACCGCTTGTTGATTGGGTTATTTTTGGTCATTTGGACGTAGCCTTCGGTGATTCATCACCTTATCACATGACCCCCTTCTAGGAGAAAACACCCTGCATCAGCTTTTGCTAACCAGTGTAGAACGCAACAAGTGTTACCGTCTTTGCTAACAACAGCTGTTGTGCAGTTAAATGCATCATATTACAATGATAAAACTGTTTACATGTGTAGGAGACAAGCTATTATTTGAGCAATCTGCGATAACCTCTGTGTTCAGCGGGACATGCCTGCCTTCCTGTTTACATGCATGTCCAGTGTATGTGAGTGGTCACTTGATATGCGCTTTCTGGTGTGTTAGTATGAACAGGGATTAAAACAGATTCAGAGATCGTTTTAGTTTGAAAACACTTTTTTCAAATGAAGACGTAACAGCATTGATGTAGCCAGAGTCTTGGCCCAGATATCTGCTCTCTACACCACAATCCCCAAAATGTTGGCTATTGCTCCCAGAGGCTAATTTGTCGTCAGCCAATGGGCTCCAAGATTATATTGGAAATGGAAAATTGATGCCATACAGATGCTATACTTTTCATTGGCAACTTTTTGATGTCTGCCCCAGAAGCATTTTCTAACAGTTCAACTGTCCCTTTGTTAGTCTGGACCTCGCCTCTCTGCTGCAGAAGCCTGTTGGTGGAGGAAGAGAACCACCATCTTCATCTTCTCAGAGTCTGGTCTTCACCAACTCCCATCACCACCACCAGCCACCCCCGAGCCGCAGCGCCACCGGCAGCACAAGCTACGCACATGCTGCTCTGGTAAGAAAAGTTGTATCTGACAGCCTGCTTGTCATACAAACTCCTCATTTCTTAATAGAATACAGACAACCTTCGATAATTACACACTCTCCTCTTGCCTGTGGCAGTCGTCAGTTCTGGGAGCTGGTTTTGGGGAGTTGGGTCAGGCCAAGAGGACTCAACCCAGCGCTGGAGCTCAGATACTGGAACAGCTGAAGGGCCCGGGCTTGGGTCCACTACCCTCATCACAGGCCGTGCCTCCTGCCAGCACCCAAGGAAGGAACACCTCCATCGGCCGACTGCCAGGCCTGGGAGCACCTGTACCTCCACCCTCATCCTCTAGCTGGGACATGAAGGCTTCAGAATCCAACACCACCTCGCTGTCCTCACAGTTCAGCCGTAAGAGTTCAATTGGTGCACATGTGCAAGCATTTAAATCTAATTTTATTATGTGTTTCTATATGTACCTATTTTAAATGGTTGTGTGTCTGTGTCTGCAGGTGAGTTTGGCTTGCAGCCGGAGCCCTCTCTTGTGCTGAGTCAGCTGGTTCAGAGGCACAACGGCCCCTCGTTGCCTCTGGCACGTCAGTCAAGTCCGCCCACACAACAGCAAACGCTCCCTGCTTCAGCCTCACCTGCTCCCCAGCACACCAGCATGCCAGCACAGGCAGGGACAGTGATGACTGTTTCTGGTATTAAACCTCCTGCGCCCAATGTGGGGCTGGACCCTCAGGGTGGCAGTACTCCACAGCAGCAACGGGCACAGCTCAAAGGCCAGAAACGAAGGATACCTCCCACATCGAAGGTAGGAAATGATGGTGGTGGGCAGGAAGTGGCAGCTCCAGTTTTAACCACAGGAGTTATAATTTATAAGTCTCTAATTTAGAGCTAAGTTCCGACATATCGATTGTAAAATGGAAAATATCTTTTTTCATATGACTTAGCACCAGTACTTGTATGAACTTGAGAAAGTGAATGTCACGGATCTGAAAAACCCAACTGTGCTCTGTCACTCCTTGCAGATCCCCTCCACAGCGGTAGAGATGCCAGGCTCAGCTGACGTACCTGGTCTAAACCTCCAGTTTGGAGCTCTAGACTTTGGCTCAGAGTCGGCATTGCCGGAGTTTGGCGTCGTGGACAATTGTGTGGGAGCAGTGTCCAGGGAGTCGACTCCGGCCCCCGCTCCAGTACCACCTGCACCGGGACCAGGGACACAGAGCCAAACAAGCCTGTACTCCAAACCGCTCAGGTACCACTGTCACTGCTGATGAACTAGTTACATTTCTATAGTGTAATATACATACACTTGGCATTTGAACAGTTTAATTATAAAACACGACAGATTGCATATAAAAGATGCATATAATCAAAAAGCCTCAATAAAGCTGTTTCATAAACAAAGAATACGAGATTGACGTTAGTTGAACATAAAATCCTGCTTTTTTCACATGATCATTTCACAAATTTCCTGATAAACTAATTCTTTTCTTGACTCATCTGATTTATCTGGTTCATCTCTCATCTTCTATTATCCTGCAGTGAGTCCCTGGGCAGCCCACTCTCCGTTACCCTGCCTCCGCCCCTCTCCTCATCAGAGCCAGTATATCACTCCTCATCGGTGGCGCTGTCCAGCCTCACCACCTCCTCATTAGGGACTGCCAGCTCCACCAATCCCCCCTCGTCCTCTTCCACGCTCTCCACCACCTCCACCTCCATACCCTCCTCGTCCCCCTTCTCCACAGTGGGAGGAAACTACGATGGGACCATGCCCCCTCACACACGACTAGCTTTTTCACAGAACAAAGAGGCCTCAGGGCCAGTCATGGTGAGTGCAACCACTGAGTGTAAATACCTGCCTGTTGGCGTTGCATTGGAAAGTCAGACTGAAATGAAATAAAGACAGTTATCAGCATAATTGGATTGACATGAATTCAGTTTGATTTTCAGCCCTGAGCTAAGTTTTATTCATTCTGTTTGTTGATAGAAATGGTAGAGTTTGATCTGTTATCAGCATATGCAATATGCAAACACCATTTCTTTCTTATCTCCAGAACGGTCTAAATGGTGTGAGGACCTCTGCTGCTCTCGACAGTAAGTTGCCTCTGACTGATTTATTATGTGTTCTAAGGCTATACTACTTTGACTCAATTACATTGGACATTCCTCTCCCTAGCATCATCAGCGTCCTCCACACCAAAGCCAGAGTCGCCATCTCTGAACATCAACAGCGGCCCAGCACCCTCCTCCCACTTAACCTCCTCCCTCCCTGCACACAGCTCCGCCACTCTTTCCAACCTGGCACAAGACCTTCCCTCTGCCAGCCAGCTCAACTCACTCAATAGGTGACACACCACACACACACACACTACTCAGTCTTTAGTCATACTCTTTAAAGAGTAAGTCCACAAACATCCACAAGGCAAATCTTAACTTTGTGTTTCCTTCTCTCTGCTGTTGTCTCACAGTGAGTTGAACAGTTTGGTCAAAAGATAAAGTTGGGTGTACCAGCATTTTGACTATTTTTACACACACTGAACTCTCAAGAGAGTGCACCCTAGTCAGTGCCTGTTACTGTGGGTAAGATTTCTTGAGTGTTTCTGCCAATGGGCAAAGTAAAATTTGTTCTCCTGCGTAATGATTGAGGGAGTTTTGTTTTTTATCAAATTGAAATACTACAAAGTTATTGTGCACTTGCTGATTATCGCTGTCTCCTCTGCCTGTAGCCATGTCAGCAGTCTTTCCTCAGCTTCAGCTCTGGGCTCCAGCTCTGTCACTGTAAGTACCTCATGGCTAAGACCTTCTGTGTGGTAGCTCTGTAATGACATTTAAAGGTTCAGTGTGTAGAATTTAGTGATATCTAGTGGTGACGTTTCATGTTGCAGCAGAATACCCCTCATTTCACCCTCCCCTTCCCAACATGAAAGAGAACCTGTGGTGAACTTCAGTTGTCATGAAAGCTCTAAAGGTTTTAGTTAGTCTAGTTTGGACGACAGTAAAAACATGACGTCCTCCACAGAGAGGACCCGCCCCCGATGTAAATATAAAGTATTTAAATATAAAAGGCCCATTTTCGGATAAAGAAAACAACAATTCATACAATTTAAATCAGCATCACAGCCAAGGAATCACTAATTTTTCAGAGTCTTCAACAAGCATTGTTTATTCTTTGCTGTTTAAGCCAACAGCTAGTTGTGTGATCACCATGGAGCAATTCAGAAGTGTTTATTTTTTGAGGGAATGAGAACTAGATGAAATGCAAATATACAATTTGAATGAGGAGACCTTTTCAGAATGTCACAGCCAAATTAAATAACTATCAATACTCTGAAAATATGAAGGGGATCCCACAGTGTAAAAAATTAGGAGATGACATACTGTACAAACACATTTCAAATGTATATAGAATGGTTTAAAATGTTTCCCTTTCTCTCTATCCTCAGTACACCAGTGTCGACAGCAGCAGCATGAGCTCCCTGGTCCCCTCCTCTGGCCCCTACACGTCATCGCAGCCCTCAGCCTCAGCACTCCACTCGACCCACAACAGCAGCAACAGTAGCAGCATCAGCCACCTGGCCAACATGCCCCACATACCCCACATGCCCCACATGGGCAGCAACATTAGCAGCGCAGTCTGCGGTATTGCTGGCACCAGCGGACTTCACTCTGCCGCCACCAGCACAGCGCTTGGACTTGGCTCCAATGGAGCTATTGCCACGTCCAACCTCTCTGCACCAAGGACCACGCCCCTGCTCTCCTCCACTGGTACACAAACACGCACACCTCCACACCTCAGACACTAGGCACATTATGTGTGATAGTTTTTATTACCACTTGTAATGATTGAGTTATAAATACTTGCTATAAGAGGAAAGTTAAATAGACCCAGACTGGAGCTGTTTCAATACATGAAAGTGAGTTGATTTTCCAATGTATTACCAGGTAAAGCTCCTCCTAACCTGTCCCAGGGAGTCCCTCCTCTATTGCCCAACCAATATATCATGGGCCCAGGGGGGCTGCTGCCAGCATACCCAGTAAGTAGCCCTCAGGATCTAGAACCATTGTAATGTAGCTTTTAATGTACTTGCCAGTTTCATCTATGCAGTCATTTCAGTTTAGCATTCAGTCCTTAAACTACACGTTTGATACACTAATTATCTTCAATTAAATCATCATATAAAGTTGAAGCATTTGTCAAAATAGTATTTTTGTAAAGTATATGAGGTTCCAAGAGTCTGACCCCAAGAATGGTCTTAGACACTGCCTGTCCTTTGTGTCCCACAGCAAATCTATGGCTATGAGGACCTCCACATGCTCCAGTCCAGACTGCCAATGGTGAGACCTGTTATTACATGTTTGGGAGTGAACTTGAAATCACATTTTACTTTTTGAGGTTGTCTGGCTATTGTTTGTTTCTTAAGTCGATCCTCTCTTGTACTTTCAGCCCTCTTTGCAGGATTACTATGGAATCACATTCCCCGGTCCCACAGCAACTCTCTCTGGCAGAGACGGGAGCCTAGCCAACAACCACTACTCAGGTAATACACCCTCTCCATTGACTGGCCTCATACATCCAAAGATCCAGTGTTTTCTTTTCTCACGTGGCATCTCCCCTGTTGCTCAGGTGAAGTCACAAAGTTTGGTAGGAACGACTCCACCTCCCCGGCACCTCCCACAAGCCTGGCGGCCCAACAGGCTCCCCAGGGCCAGAGCCAAGGACAGAGCCAGGGCCAGCCTCAGCCTCCTCAGGCCCAGCCTCAGCCCCAGGGCCAGCCGCAGCACCATAGCAGTCAGCAGGCCTTTCTGCCTCCGGGCTACAGCTACACAGGCCTGCCTTACTACCCCGGAGTGCCCGGTGCCGTTCCCAGTGCTGCTGCCTTCCAGTATGGCCCCACCATGTTTGTTCCTCCCGGGGGACCAGCCTCGGCCAAGCAGCACAGCATGGGCCTCGGCCTTGGAAACCCCCCGGCAAGTCCTTTCCAGCAGCAGACGCAGCAGCAGCCAAGCGGTTACGGCCAGCACACCTTCAGCTCAGGTTAGTTGAGCAAACTGGGGGAACGCATTGATTTTTAATTTATGCTGTTTAGCAAATTGATTCTGATTCTAAAAATCCACCAAAGAAGCTGCTGTAAGGGTTGAATTTTGATGCTGATGTTTTCCTGTGCAGGTTATGAGGAGCTGACAGCAGGGCCGGCTGGAGTGGACTACAGTAAAGGCTACAACTCCACCTCACAGGCACATGCCAAATCTGCTGCTAGTGGGCCTGGCAAAGGTCAGGAGGAAACATGGTTCACTGTTTCTAATTTCATAATTTTCTTTTATTTAAAATATATGGATTTACAGTGTATTAACGCTGCTGCTGTTCTGCTAGGCGTCTCCGTGACATCCAGTAACTCGGGAGTGCCAGACATCAGTGGAAGTGTTTACAATAAGACCCAGGTGAGCCTCAGACACCTCAACCCCCATCTACCTTGAAGTTTTGCTTTATTTATACCAATAAATAATCAAGTTTGGAGTTTAATGTGTCATTACTCTTCTGTGTACAGTCTTTTGATAAGCAGGGTTTCCATGCGGGCACCCCTCCTCCCTTCAGCTTGCCATCAGCGCTGGGGGGACCAGGCCCTCTGAACCCTGGAGCAGCTCCTGGAGGCTATGCACCAGCCCCATTCCTCCACATCCTGCCTCACCAGCAACCACACTCCCAGCTGCTGCACCATCACCTAGCTCAGGATGGACAGGTAACACCAGAGCTGCTTTCGGACACTTTCCTGAAATTTTCTGTGAGCTAAACATGATCAGAGGTATTTGTTCTAGACCAATTAATGGAACTGCTTCTAGTAAAATGTCCAAGTGAGCCCATGCGAGAAAACAGTAGAATTCGCAGTGAGCGAGAAGGTGAGTTGATGATGTTTCTAATGTGATGGATGTAAAATTCTCAGGATGAAAAAGTGGTGTCATACATGAAGAAGACGCTGACAAAGATGTCAACTTGGAAGGACAATGAGAAGGTTTTTGGTGATAAGGGCAGTGTTGATGTGTTGTAAACAAAAACATTTGAACGTCTGACCGAACAGTCTCCTGCTGGGATCTTCAAATGTGAAAGTCCAGAAAAATGTCCGGACCCAACTTTTGGGAGCTCACGTCTGTAACTGGCTTTGTATTTTTCAGCAGCTTCACAGGTTTCACAGCTGATTTGTGTCTCAGGTGTTTACTTCGTGTGTGTGTGTCTGTCTCTCTCTCTGTGTTCAGGGTGGTCCCAGCCAGCGTGGCCAGTCCAGCAGCCTGCAGCAGAAGAGCCAAGTCAACAAGTCAAGCTATGGCACCTCCCCCTACTGGGCTAACTGAGGTGGCGAGAACCTACGATGTGTGTTTGTGTGTACGTGCATGGACGAACAGACACACACCGGCGTATCTGACTGACAAGATCATAGAGGGACAAACCATTTTACAACACAAGCTAAAACACACACACACTACCACCCCCTCCCCTTTGCTCTGTATATCCCCTTTTCAAATTTATGGCTGTTGTATGTAAAATATATTTATGTATGTATTTATACAGTATATATGTATTGGTAGGACATAAAATGTGGTTTTCTGAATTTTGTTTTTATTTTGAAGGACATTTTCAAAAAAATGTGGAAAAGAAAAGAATGCTAATTCACGGAGATGAAGTTGGTGAATATACTTGAACACAAGCATCTTGTGATGTGGATTTCTTTTGTATGCATACATGAACTGAGAATGATGTACATAGATTTTACGCATCGTTTTCATGGCAAAGGCCTTTTTTTATTTTAGAAGAAATACGTTTTTGTAAGTTTTGGTCTCCCGCATCTGTGAATCCTTATATTGAGGGTGACTTAAGTTGATAGCTTGACATTTCTTTTTGCCCCATTTCCTTCCATCTGTCTCATTTCTCAAACTTTTAGTAGTTGGCTGGTTTGACCAGCCAGGCCTTGGATTTGATGTCATTTTAACATTGGTTTAATCCTCGTTGTCCAAATTAAAAGTTCTGAACAGTTTGTTTGAGTCTGGCATTAATATTTACACAACATTTCTGTACTTAGACCCAGAAATTTCATTCACATACATGTGTCTGATAGTACAGGGTAGCAGTCAGGGTTACAAGTACATGAACAAATGATGTATGTTACCATGTTTACATGGACAGCAACTTACCAACTACTGAATATTCTGAATGGGATATTTTACTTGTTGATGTTCACTTGAGTCACTAATAGAATATTCCATTCATATTCCTGTTTACATGTTGCAGAGTCTGATTATGACTCATGCCAACATTATGTCCTACTGCTTGTTTACACTCTAACACAGCAAGTGTCATCAAGCAGTTGGTAACTGTCGTATGTTGATGTATATATATAATGTGTTTAAGATGTATACATGTCTACATGATGTCACTACGGTCAGAATAATCATGCTTATTCTAGTATGACCTTACTCAGATGATCAGAAAATACTGATTACATAGCAGTGTTTAATCCAAGCTGTTGTCTTAATTGGGTTAATAACAGAATATTGGGGTCAGTGTAAACAGTTATGGACCACAGCAGCATTGGGCTTGAAAATACACAATGTATGAACTCTAAATACCAGTGGACAAGTTAAGAAGGTCCAGAAACAGTAAAACTTAAAGGTTCAGTGTGTGGAATTTAGTGACATCTGGTGGTGAAGTGTCATGTTGCAGCTAAATACCCTTTATCTCACCCTCCTCTTCCAAACATGACAGAACCTGTGGTAGTCTTCAGTTGTCATAAAAACTCAAAAGATGTTTAGTTTGTCCAGTCTGTGGACTACTGTAAAAAACCTGGCTGCGTCTGTGGAGAGGATGGGCTCGTTCTAGGGCAAAGAATAAAACTCCTTGTACAATTTAGATGAAATACACAAGTGAAAACATCACTAAAGGATTATTTTATATTCAATTTCTGCCAATAGATCCCTTTCACCTAAATCTTACCTCCACTAAGCATTTCTGGCTGCCGAGCTTTAAACTGTCTGTTGGGGCCAGAAAGCTGAGTAGTTCTGATAATGTCAGTGGCAAAGGTCAACTGACAGTATCTTGAGCTGGTTAGTAATATTTATTGTCTGTGAAAATGAACCCATGGCAATGCTTCAGTATCACTTTATACTCTGCCGCATCATTGATAACCTATTTACATTTGTGTCATGACTATTATTATCTCATTCTCGTCATTTCATCTTTTTGTATTTCATAGTTTTTGTACCATCTCTCACAACTTTGACTCATGGATATAAAGAACTTTCAGCACCTCTGGAAACCAACCTGGCTTTTGACAAATCATTAAGCCTGGGAAGAGCTTCTTCAGTGATGCTCTTACATAATAATTCCACTCAAGTATTCTTGTATTGAAGGTCTCATTTGATAACTTTCCCGTCATAGCAATCTAGTATCGCATTTCTGATCCATGTTACATACACAGAGTACATCTCGGTCCAGCAGAACTTGATTGTCACCCCACCAATATCCATCTTTAATGAAAACTATTTTTTTTCCCTTTTGGAAGAAGTGGTAAACTTTTCCTGGATATATATTTTCAGAGATCTAAAGCTGTGAACGTTGCAAGGAACCTCTAACATGGTGCATCATTAAAGATATTAAGGTGCACCTCTCACAGTAACACATTTTGTTGGACAATATTTTGTCCCAGAAATGTGATTTGTCATAATTTTATACCACTGAGATTATAGTATTATCATGCATGTTCAGCCTTTCAAAGAGCAATGAACCTAATTCTAAAAAAGATTCAGTCTGCCATTTGAATTACAATAACAAGTATTAAAATAGCCTGAATAATTAAGATAAAATCCACACTATCAAAATAAAGTCTTTTACACCATTAACACAAGATGCAGTTGGATACAAACTAAACATTTGGCACAATTTACATTAACATGATGGGATGGTTAGGATTTAGATGAGCCTTTATTGAATCAGGTTAGTATTCCAGCATTTCCTCTAAGAGTGTGTATACACTTACATATACTTATTTTATTTGTGATGACCATTTTGAGCATAAATCTTATGGAGTGAGGACATTGTGGCCAGTCCGTACTTTCTCAAAGGTTTGTCTGCAGAGTTGGACTTGTGTAAACTGTGTGGCCAACATTCAGTGGAAACACACATTGGCTACCAGAGTTGAGAGAACAGCTGATAGAACTGCTGATACACTAATCCAAGTAGATCATGTGAAAAGATCAGTGACCATTTGTTAAAAAAATGTTAGAGAATTTTTAGAACTGAACTACAGAATCAGTGATGGTGTAGGTGCTGAAAATGACCTTCGACAGATGAGATGTTGTGACAAAAAGTTGAACTGATCATTTATTTACAGAAATACAAGTAAATATTATTGACTTTAAAGGCACAGTTACAAGCATAGCCTTCTTTCTTGTGGTTATGAGACGACGCTGTGGACAAACTACCTTCTGAAGGAGTAAAATGAATTAAAAAACTGTACAAAAAATAAAGATTTAGTCTTTGCCCATATTCTCTACTCGTCTGCCTCCTTTTTCTTCTTTTTCTTCTTCTTCTCAGACACAGGTGTTTCTGGGATCTCTTCTGCTGGGGCTGTTTCCTCGGTTTCAGTCTTTCGCTTCTTTTTCTTCTTTGATGGAGTCTCCGTGTCCTCCGCTGTGTTATCTGTGACCGCTGCTTCTCCTGCCTCCTCGGCCTCCCCCTTTCGTTTCTTCTTCTTTTTGGCTGGAGTTTCTTCTGCTCCGTTCTCTGCAGCAGGAGCTTCCTTGGCTTCCACCTCCATCTCCTCGGCTGCTTGCTTCTTCTTTTTCTTCTTAACTACGGTGGCGTCTGCGTCTCCGTTCTCCACCTGCAGAGGGCAAGAGAAGATAGTTAGAAAAGGGGAAGTTGCCATTTTTATTACAAAACACCAACATTAAATAATGCTTTTCAATGTCTGACTCACTTCAGTGATCAGGTCCATTGTTTGGGGCCTGTCAATGGTTCGGAGTCAGGCTGATGTAGCATGTGGTACACTGAGACAGGACCATGTGGGTCAAATCTCAAATCAAGACATGCGTTGCCACAAATTAAAAACGAAGGCTTACCTCAGCTTCACCATTGGTGTCAAGTTCTTGCAACTTCTTCTCACGCTTCTTGCGTTTCTTTTCCTTTTTGTCTAGTTTACGCTTCATCTCAGCTGCAACATCAGTGGCCTTCGATGAGGTGGAAAAGAAAAGAAAATCTTTTAACAATGGAAGTGCAGACAGATAACCCGTGTTTTTTATTTTTTTACAGAAGGTAAAGCTGTGTCAGGCTCATTAAATCAGTATTACCCTCACAGTCATGTCAGGAAGAGACTTTTCATCAATCACAGCATAGACAGACTAAGAATGGATCATAAGAGAATTTGAATAACCATAGTAAGTGATCTGAGCTCACCTCTTTCACTGCCTCTTTCATGACATCCACATTTTTCCGTGGCACGTCGCCCGTCTCATAGAAAGACAGTCGCTCTTCCACCTGTTCACGCAGCCGGTCACCAAACACACTTGTTGGTACCTCTGAAATACAAGTAAAATAACAGAAAATAAAAATCCAACAAATCCAGTTTAGGTTCAGTATAAACTCAGTGTTCTAACAAAATGTGGCTTTGCTCAGGGAAAAAAGCTTCTCAACATCAACCCAAGGGATGAATACTGTTGACGAAAAATATGAGCATCACAGCAATTTCACCACATGAATTTTGTGCTGAAGCTGAAACACTATTATTCTGCAAACGTCCCGTCACTCACCAGAGAAACAATCGATGCGTGAGGCGATGGTGCATTTGTTCGCCAGGTATCTGGAGATGCGACCTTTGTTCTTGGCGGCAGCACGTCCGATAAAGGTTGAGTGGAAGATGAGGCCGTACTTGGGAGTGTTGCCACGTGTCTTTAGAGCTCTGTGCAAAAATACAACTCCTTTCACATTCAGGTTGAAGTTATAGAAACAGAACTTATTATCCAATAGTAGTGACATGAATGCAAAACTATTTTAAGTTTAAAATTTTACATGCACTGAGTTAATGAAAACTCAAAACTCTAACAATGACTTAACAGCACCACCTTGTGGAGAAGCTACCAAATGTTACAAGCCAGGTCCACAAGGGGCTCTGCATCTCACACAACTAATAGGTCATCACACACACTTGTGGCATTTAAGTGCACATAAAAACATGGGGATTATGATACATGTCTAAATAAAATATATGGCTATAAACTATGGCTATACATCAGGTTAACTGTAATACTAAGTGCCTCAAAGGACAAAAGTCTATGATCATGTGTATTGGCGTTGAAGAAACATTAATATTACAACCAACACCTCATCACATTAAGTAATTAAAAATAAATTATAGACAATATGAGCTCTAAGAAGCTTTTTCAATCTGCTACCTCAGTGCTGTGAGTGGCTGCTCAGACTGTGGGGGTGCAATAGGGAGAGAGGGATCACTCCGGAGAAGACTAGAGTTGTCTGCTCCGGTCACCCGGCTCTGCTCCAGCCCAGCCCTGCCATCACTGCAACCACTTGTTTCCCCAGCAGGGAGGGGGCGCCCCAGTACCTGAACAGGGCCTTCTCTGCTCCCAGGATCTGCACGGTGGAGGCCGGGTACTTGGCCAGGTTGGTCAGACTGCCGGCATGGGAGATCAGACGAGCTCCCACCTAAAGGAAACAGACCGTCTCAGTGATTAAAATATCATAAGAATAGATTTTTTTAATGAGAACTGATACAATTTCATTAAAGGACCATCAGCACCGGATATATGGTTCAACACAAAGGTTCAGTGGATTGACAGATTTTGGTATAACATCATTGGTCCCATGAGTAATGCTAGAACAAACTGGACTAAAACTTGTACTCACCACTTCTCCAATTAAGGCTGCCAGGTTTGGAGCCACTTGGCTCATCTTAGAACGCAGGTATTCCTGCAGCTCCAGTCGATAGGCAGCCAGAGACACCACACGATTAGAAAACCTCTCTATGTTGATCAGGTCGATGGGAGAGATGTCCATACCTGGAGGCAGCAGGAGAAACAACTGGTCAGTGACATGTTGCGACTAATAGGTACATTTCTATAAATGGTTATTAAAACAAAGTGTGGATGTTTCTCCCGACAGGATCCGCAGTGAGGAATTGTTCCTTCACTACAGGTTTATGAGAGAGCTAATTTGCCCCCCTGTGTTAGACACCAAGGACAATTGTTAATCCAGGGTGGGCAAAAAAGGGGCAGGGTGTGACATCTTAAACACTTAGATAACAAGATCACTAAAGTAAAGCATTAAGTAAGAATATTTCATGCTAACCCATGGATGAGCGTGATGCCTCCAGGATGGCCTGAGCCTTGGCGCCGTCCATCACCACCTCCTCCAGGCCCTCCAGACTCTCTTCCGACAGCTCCTTCCTGTTTCCGATGAGCTGAGTCAGGCGGCAATACATAGAGTTGTCTGGCACGATCCTGATCAGCTCTGGGAAGTGGTATCCGTACCATTCACTGTAGACAGAAGGAAGAGGTTGTTACACCTGGGAAGTCATCGTCTTCAACGGGCAGTAAAAACTATACTATACTTTACAACATAAAGCCCCAGCATGTTTGGTCACCCCTGAACCACAATGGAGGTGTCACCCAAAGGATTCGCATTATGAGATTAATATCCCTCCTGTTTCTATACAGCCAGCACTCTAGGGGGCACCACCTGTGGTAAGCACTAGGAGGCTGCATGGTACAGATGAATGCTTTGAACAAAAACTAAAAGAATTTAGAAAGAAGGTATGTAAGACTACCTCAAGCATTCTATGGGCCTGGCATGTTAATCTATTAACATCCAAAACTGCACAGACAGGCACTGTTGTGTAGAGGCTTGATGCAGGGAAACCTACCGGACACGCATGGAGAAAGTGTTGATATCTTTGTCCAACTGATCCAACAGAGCAATCGACTGGATGATCATGTTGTCGACCCTGTTCACATTGAACTTGACCTTAGCTCTGGAGTAGCTGTGGCCAAGACCCAGCTGTGCTTTGGAGGCGGCCAAGCCCGTCAGACCCTTCACTAGTGAGTGGAAGTGCATACGTAAACCTGACAGGAGACACAACAGATAGAAGGGTTTGTTGGCATTATGTGGAATAGGAGAACAACAGCGTGTGATCAGTGGCTGTTCAGATTTTCAGTATGAACCCTCATGAGTTTCAGGATCAGAAGATCACATCACAACAGGCCACGATGGGGCAAGTTGTTCATGGGTGAATCAGCACCTCACCTCTGGTTATCTCAGCCACCACACCACTGGTCTGGATGGAAATGCTGAACTCTTCTTGTAAAGCAGCTCCGATTTTGGCATCTGAAACACCCAACACGGCTTTCTTCTTCCCAGACAGGGACAGATTAGTTTCCAGGAACAACTTCAGGTCGGCATGAACCACACCTGCGGGTGACAGACAGGATGTTCTTTTATTTCTGTGTACTCATGAGATGTGCATGTGATTCCACAGCAACACCATTTGAAGGCAGTGGCGCTCATGTACCCAATAATGCAGCCAGACCCGTTTACTTCAACTACTAGCAACTAACTAGCTATCATGCAACTTGGGGAAAAGGCAGATTAAACGTGTATCGAAAGCAATAGATGGAAAAACACTTTAATGCTGGGGTAAATTTAATGTATCACAATTATTAAATTTGATAACACTATATGCTCAACATGAGATGTATACAGCTAATCAAAGTTCTCCGTTACAGACTGATCGGCATATTGAACCACGCCATTTTATTTTGAAATGTTTTCCTCAGATGTTCAGGGTTGATAATAAGCGTCAGCACTTTGACTCAGTGGATTGACAGATTTGAAAACATCATTACAGCTGAGGAAAATAAACAGTAGGGTCAGTTGCTAGAAGAAAAATCAAACACACCTTCAGAGATGGCGTTAATGTTCTCCAGGGCAGTCTGGGCGGACTTGAAGGGGAAGAAAGCAGCCAGGCTCACCATGCTGTTGAACTTCCCGAGATTCAGCACGCTCTCCTCCACCTGAAACACACGGCCACGTCAGCCCCATTTGAATAATCTAACTGATTCCGCACAGCAGCGCGTGTAGAGGAGACCAGAGGACCCACCTGAGGCAGCAGCATGCCGATCTCCTCCACCTCTTTGACGGCGAACAGCGCGTAGCCCGCCGCATGCTCGAACAGCACGTGTAACAACACCTGAAAGAGGTAAAATACATTTTAAATCCATGCAGCTAACGATCCATAACACTGAATACCCAAAAAAACAAGGGTAACCCGTTTGTCAAAACTTGTTCGATGCTACGTGTTTAGCAGCCTCCACGTGGTGATCGCTAAGGCACGAGTTAGCATCTTTTTAGTTGCAAAGTGGAGGCTGGTGTTGTCTGGGTAAAGTATAAAACACTCAAATACTATTTCGGATTCCAGTGTAGTGACCTAAATGTGTTGCCATAACTTTAACACGCAACCACGTGGTAGTCTTGCTGAACCCACGTGTTGACCTGGGCCCGCGTGTGAAGTTGCTTAAAGCTAACTTGTGCTAGTAGCCGAGCTAACATTAGCTTGACGCATACTGTCGCTAACACGCGTTCTGGGCTAAAAAATACAAATGTCTGCATGTAACCTGTATGAATGGAAGTAAAGCTGTCGGTGTTGGGTCTGTGCAGCGTCAGTTCTGACAGCAGTTCACACGAAAGTAGCACAGTTAGCATCATGGGCGGCTAACTGCGGCACTCATGCTGAGAGGCCTTCAGCTGAACGGCGGTAAACACATTAAAACTGCTTTTTCTAGCCTTGAGCCGTGTGCGGCTTCAGAGAGCCGTGTGACACAGTGACACAGCTGCTCAGTGAGTCCACACATGGAGCTGCGCTGGTGTTCGCGTGTTCTTACCATGATCAGTGGCTCTCTGCGGCAGCGCGTGGCCGCTCTGCTGCTCCTCTGCAGGGAAAAGACGGCGTCGACTCTTTTCAGCCAAACCTAACCTGACTCAAACACCGCGAGATCAGCTGAACACCGCGAGATCACAGCGAGGGCCCCCACCTGCTGGATACATACGTGAAAATTATGCTTTCATGATTCTGTGCATCCACGCTGGTCTTTTCACAAGGTCCCACCATCATCGTCGCTCAGTCTATTTTCATTATCCATTTTATTTCTATTATATCCCCCTTTCTACTTATTTTCGAGTTTGGATACAGATCTATCCTTTTTATTTCTTGTACCTATTTTAATCTTATCATTTCTTTCACACTGCTCTTTTTAATCTTGTATTTTTTTATAATCTTGGAAATTGTTTTAAATTGCACTTCTTATTTTTTATTTTGTATCTATTTGTTTTTTTTAATGTCCTTAAAAATAAATACATTTGCCTCGCCTTATTGCCTCCACCGAAGTGGTTATGTTTTCCCTCCAGTCTTTGTTCATTGGTTTGTTAAAAACCCATTAGATTATCATGTGCATACAGGAATATTTTTGATCACTTTCTGCAACATTGTTTTGCAGCATTTTCACCTTTTCCCAAAGGAATTCTGCCTCTTTGTCCAAATCCTCCCCAAATTGAATGAGTTCATTTTTGGCCTATGTCTCATCATTCCATTAAATTTCCTGGAAATAATAAACCAACAAACAGACATGAGTGAAAACATTAAGTCCTTGGCAGAGGTAATAAATAGAAATATATCAGTATTAGAACAAGCACCCCTGTGATTTTAATTAGATATGAGACATTTTATGATTTTGGATGTAATATTGAGTCTGGACCACGTAAATAACATGTCATTAATGACATTATAAAGCCTTATATAGTCTTATTATAAAGTCCAGCTCAGGGTCACAGTTGTCTGTGTCTGTAGATGCTGATTTTATCCAGCATAGGGTCAGATAACAAGTAATATCTCTTTATCTATACACATGAGTTACATAACTATGATAATAGAGGTATATGCAATTCATACCCTATTCAAAATGGATACTGAAGTTCTAAAGGACAGGGATTCCAGGGATTTAACAACGCATTATAAAAGACCTAACATTAGGTGATGGAAAAATGCAACAAGAGCTTGTCGTCAGTGTGGCAGTGTTATGATGAAGTGTTACAGAGGAAGCTACACACTATAAATACAATAAAACCACATAAAGCAGCTACAATACTGAAAATTGTCCACTTCAGCTGAGTATTCTGACGACAAACCCAACCTGCAATAACATGTCACCACTTGGCAGGAAAAAGAGTGTCATATTTGGGGGAGAAATATCATTAAAGTTCTCAAGTCATGACGGTTTCTAAGGAACGAGTGCATGTGGCTCTGTTTGTGCACAAGTAAATTACTGGTGGGTCATAAACATCACATTGTGTGGGATAGTAGTTTAGTTTCTGAGAATTTATGACCGACCTCTTTGGGCAGATTGTCTCCTTGCTGCTACACACACACATGCACACATGCATGCACACACATGCACACACTCACGCACATAACCTCAGCTTAAAACTTTACCTTAACCTTAAAATATACTTTTGAGGGCTGGCGTTTTGTCCCCATAAGGAAGACAAGTCCCCATAATGTGAAGTGTCCACTGTTTCACAAGTGAAAAAAAAGCACAGATTAAACTTTGCTGCTCATTTTCAGAGTTTAGATCAAGTTAATTTGCAGTTTTAACTTCGTATTAAGTTGTTTGAAGGTCAAATAACTGAAAATATATTTGTTTGCTGCCATGTGTGATAAAAGGAATTTGAATGAAGAGTGATTTCTCATATTCACAATACAATATAAATTAAAAACAAATTGTTGCATTTATATGGCTTATGGCTTATTACATGTAGCACTTTGTAGTTTGGCTTTTTTGAAGCAAATTGTATTTACTTGATTCTGGTTCTTCTAGGTTTTATACCCTCATGGTTGAAAGCACTTATTGTAAGTCGCTTTGGATAAAAGCGTCAGCTAAATGAAATGTAATCTAATATCACACCACAGTTATCCAGCACGTGTAGGGCATTGCATTGTGTTGTTCCCTAAAGCCCCCCTAATAATACGGCAGACACCGCAGGGGTTTCTCCATCAATGTGTCATTTTGTCCGTCCTGCCACAGGCCCACATACATACACAGTGGTGAGCTTAGTGCCCTAATAAAAAAGCCAGATTCCTGAGTAATATGTGTGTCTCTAGGAGTGTGGAGAGTGCTGGATGGAGCCTGGTGAGGAGCGGATGTGAGGCAGGATAGTAAAAAGCTTAGGGATCAGGAGAGGACTTGATATAAAGGCTGGCTGGGACAAGCTGACACTCACATTGGTGGAGCTCTGCTCATCTTAAAGCACACTTCCCCCAAGTGACTGACCAGCGCTGACACAGCAAGTGAGTAACAAACAGCTCCTTCATGTTCTCTGTCTCTCAGACCTTAAAAACCCTCTGTTGCTCCTGTCTTTCTCCCCGTCCACGTCCTGCCTTCATTCTTTAACACGAGTGCACAGAGCTGTGTTGCTGTTGTAAGTATGGCTGGTTCACTCCGGCATCTTATCTCTCTTGTCAGTGGAGCAGTTTGTTTGTTACTTCCATGCATCTCTCCCTAACTCCCCCCACTGCTTTCTTTCCCCTATCTGCTGCCTATTTGTCAACCTCTCCCTTGCATAATGACACATATGTTCGCCTGTGTCCTTCTGAACTCCATTTTTTCTGTTTCTGGCGTGCGTGCGCGCGCACACACACACACACACACACACACACACACTGCACCTCATGTAAAAAACTCTATGTTTGACCTATTTTGACTGCCACCTCTTTCCCACGGCTAAAAAAACCATTCCCTAATTTCTGTAAGCGACCTGCCCTCAGTGCCACTCACCCCTGCTCATGTGGAAACACTGACTTTACTGTACATCTGCATGAACCCATACTGTTCTGCAGCACCTGTATACCCATGTACAGTATGTGTATACGTGTGTGTATGTGTGCGTGCGTCCAGGACAGAGCAGAATGAGCATGCGTGGAGCAGTGGCTGGTTGCTTGGTGCTGGCGTGCCTGGTGGCACTGCTGGCCGAGAGGACAGAGGGACACATCACCTTCTTCAGCCCAAAGGAGATGAAGCAGATGAGGGTAAAGATAAACCAAGAAATTTGAAAATCTCATGTTATGTTAAATTATGCTGTGCATTTTCACTCTTCAAAATCAATATTCAATTTGGCAAGAAAAGAATAGTCATATTAGTAGATGTTTGAAATATTTTTTTTTGCAGCCCCGAACCTGCGCAACGATTAAATGCTAGTGCATGATGTCTTTTAAGTGGAATCATATTAATACTGAATACTTTATTTATCTCACATTATTATGTCCTGTGGTGCCACTGGATGAGCATTCATTTGATTATACAGAGTGATTTTGCATTTGCTGCGTATAATTAAAAATGATGAGCTTACTCATTGATTGGTGAATCAAAAGATTGTTACTCAGCAGATATTTTGATGATTAATCATAAATAATCTTTCAATCATAAATACCCATCAGAAGGAAAGGAAAGAAGGAATGACACATTTATAGTAAGAGTTGTCATTAATTCTGCAATGTAATGTTTTAGTTTGGATGATAAAGTTACAAAACTCAAGAGGAGGAGGTCGCTGCAGTGTCACATCAGGATAAGAGGCTGATAAACTGTCTGTGGATCTTCATATTTGGAGGCTGTAAAATCCCTATTACTGTTTTCTCCTACTATCTTGTGCTGCAGGATAGAGAGGGTGCAAAGGACTTGGGGCCTCGGTCGGAGGATGGTCAGTTTGAACAAGTCACTGTGCAACAGCTTCCTCAGGTGGAACATGGTGGAAATCCTGTGAGTGCACATTACCTTCACAGCTGATGACCCTACGGGATTCCAATGTCCTGCTGTCATTAAATGCCGGCCACTTACAGCTCTCTTGTGTGTGCTCAGGATAAAACAGTGGAAATCGCCATCCATCTGTCACCCAAACAGCTGGATCATGTGGCCCCGCTGCTCGAAGAATATATCGAGGAAATATTTGAGGAGAAAGGTACAAGAATTTGATTGGTGCATGACACAGTGGTGTGACACTTTTGTTGAAGATCCCATACCGTGTCCTTGTAACTACTTTTATTATCAACAGACTCACAAGTGATAGTTATTTGATTTAAAAAAACCTCTCTGTAAACGTGATGTTCTCTCACTATCTCTCTGCAGCCAAGTAGCGAGGCAGACGACACCGGAGGACGAATGCACTAAATGCTCACATATTTTATTGTATTTTAATGAATCAGCCAATAAAGGGAAGTTATCATATCACTAATGCGAGACTCTGATGTAATTTCTAATTCCTAAGAAGTTTGTCTGTCTGTTTCCCAATTTTCTGGTACTCTTCACTACATATATCGGAAATATCTGTGCTTTCTACTCCAGAAAATCAATCAGCAACTCTTGATGATGATTGATTTCTTGCCAGTTTCCTGGTTACATCTTCTCCAGTGTCAGGACTCTTCTTTGTTTTATATGACAGTCACCTAAACATCTTTGGGTTGCAACCTCATTTTATGGAATAAACAATTCATCAATTCACCAAGAGAGCATTAAGTTTACATGTTCACATGAGTTCTTATATTTTTTAAAGTAATCAACGATGAGAGGGGAATAATCTGATCGAATTGGCGTCAGGCAGGTAACATTAGACCCCGCCTCCAAACAGGATTCAGAAGAGACGGAGACTCAGTCATAGTAGAAAAGTTGAAGTGGTACTTTTATGTTTACTTTTACTTTTTACATTCCTGTGTAATTATTTGTACTTTTACTTGGGTAAAATGTTTGAGTACTTCCTTCACCACTGAAAGCAGGTAACAACAAAGGTGGGAAACCGACTGGAACAGGAAGTTCATCCAGAGCGGCCGTATGAGGAAGATAATCCTCCCAATATAAAACAGGAAATAATGAAATGGTCAAAGGGGCAGAATATGACAAAGTGATTAACCACATTTGACATGTTGTTCACACCAAGCCACATTTTAGGAAATGTTTCTTCTCTTTGATGTACAGAAAGCACAGAGTGGTCATAATCAGGTGACATTTATTAAAGATCTTTGTATAAGAATATTAATAAGAATATCCAATAATTGCATTTGAGTAACCAACCCAAACTCTAACATTCATTTGCACTTCCCTTAAAAAATGATGTCCCTGCAAATGACCGATGGAAATGTATACAGAAAGCTCTTTGCCCACATAATAATGGTAATAACTTGATTTGTATAGCACTTATCTAAACAAGGTTACAATGTGCCTTACACAAAAGAAAAAACATTGCAAAATGAGTAATGAATTACATAAAAAAGGTCAAGACCTTAAATTTATAGGGACCCAACAGTTCCCACAAAGAGTAGCACTTTGGCGACTGTGGAGACTTTTCCTGGTGACTTTTCTGTCATCGAGCTGCCATTTGCCTGAATAGTCTCAGAGCTTTGATGTCAGTCTCTCACATATCTCAAAGTCTTTGACCGCCAGGGCAGCGTCTTGTGCTAAAGCCGAGGGTAGAACCAGAGAGCAGTCGCAGTCAAAATACTTCCCAGTTATCCCCTTGGTATCCTCCGCCACTGCGCAGTAGATAGAGCTGACTGCCCCCTCTTCTGGAGACTGGGAGGGAGGAAGGGTGGTGGAGACGAAATGTGAGATAACAGTCAAAAGAAACTTGCAGTTTTATATCTCTGCAATCTGCGCTGGTAGAAAAAGACCTGTTGTTGACCACATCACAGAGCAACATCAGAAACTCTGAGAAAAAACACTCCTGTCCGGTAAAGGATCCCAAATGTGACACACACACACACACACACGTTTGTACTTCTGTCTTAGTGAGGACACTCATTGACATAACACATTACCTAACTCATGTGAAGGCAGGAGTGAGTGAAAGAGAGGTAGAGAGATGAGTCCGGGAAGTCTGAATGAATCCCATGCAGCTGTAATGTGAAGACAGCGGCTCAGAGGACGTCAGCTGAGTTTGTTAGCATAACTGGCTGAGTATCTGACTATTCCCTTTAGTAAAGTGCCAAGAATTAGGACATTAAAGCTAATTACATTAAACTATGTTCAAACAAGATAAACACACCACAGGAAGCCTGCGTAACTTTCCTGAAGCATTTGGCATTACTGGAACAATGCCTGCTGCCTGCCCTAACTTCTAAATTTAGTTTCATGATGAGTGTTTTGTGAAACATGTGGGAACACTTCAACTCCAGTTTTCCTGTGTTTTCCATTGCAGGAGCTGGTTTGCACATTGAACTCTGCCAGCCAGAGCTTAACATTAACATTTGGTCTATTTCAACTGGTGCAAAATAGGACACAATGTTTACTCTCTCAAACAGGCCACATGTTTTTAATGGTGTATATCAAAATACTGAACTCCCCTGTTTGTCAAGGAGTGATTATTGTTTCCCTGATAAGGGAACAGCAGGTCTGTGTCACCAGTCTCACTAGTTTCAGATGGAGAATTGGGCTCGGACATTCTTTCAGTTTGCCTTTCACACATATACTACAAAACAGGAGATTATCTGCTTACAACAGCAACACATTCCCTGCAGGATTCACATGAGGGGTGGTGCAGCAGGCAGAGACAGGATGTAACAAATTAAGTCTGCAGCTTGATTAGCTAGATAAGAAATACAGTTTTGCATAAGTCTTGTGTTAGAAACTTATTAACCCCCACACTCGCAAGTGGTGAATCCTGCAGATGATCTGCTGTGTTCTCACATCGGCTCCTCCAGAGTTTTTTCTAGGGAGCCAGGTGGAGAAAATCTGCAGAAACTCCAGAGTAGCTGCTGAGGCTGACATCTGGTGAGCAAGTTCAGCATACCTCGCTAAATCAGAGTGATCTTCACAAAGAACAAAACTCACCTTGAAAAAGAAAAATCCAATGAGCCTGAACATGAAGCGGATCATAAACGGATAGTGTCTCAAAACCTCTGTCATGACAATACCAGGGTGAACGGAGTTTGCAGTGACACCTAAATGCACATAGACACACAGAGACATATAGACTCACATTATTAAACTCAGAGGGATAGAGAGTGGTAGAGAGAAACAGTAAGCGAGTCTCTGAACGCAGAGTTTACACACGTAGATTGCTTTTGGTATTTTCATGACTTAGAAGAGGAAAATCAATTTCAGCTGCAGTATTTTGCTAAAAGCTGGAGGCCCTGAGCAGACTCACATGTGGTCTTCATGAATTTGGAAGTTCAAAAGTTTTTAAAATTTCTCTGAAAACATGTGCTGTGTATCAGTTAGTGGAAACACGACACCCAAAGTTTTATTCCTAAACTTATACTTGTAACTATACATTTGAATCTAAATGGACATTATAATTTTCAGATCATTATCCATTCATTGTCATTGCTTCTCGTTTGATGAAAAAAACTTGCATGAGCTACATTAATATAGTTAATATTGAAATAACTTGATTGCAGCACCTACCTGTCCCCTCTAACCTGCGAGCTAGTTCGTTGGTACAGAGGATATTGTGCAGCTTCGTGTGGTTGTAGACTGAGTCCATGTAATACTTGAGGTTCTCGCCATGAAAATGAGAGAAGTCCACTACACCCTGCTTATGGTTGACTGAGCTGAGGGTGACGATACGTGCCGGAGCCGAGCGCTTCATCAGATCTGGGATGTAAAGGAAATACGCACATGGAGACAAAATGGAAGGCGTAGTCTTTTATGCAGCCGTCTATAATCAACATTTCAAATTCATTAAAATCCTTGTTTTAAGAAATAGAGACCACAAAGTCTTACCCAGCAGCAGGTTGGTGAGAAGGAACGGCCCCAGGTGGTTGGTGGCAAAAGACATTTCAAAACCATCCTTGGTTATCTGCCTGGGTAAACCTTGTTGTTGATGGGGGAAAATAGATAAAGAGTAAACAAAAAATATATATCTATATGTTGGTGCACACATCTTTTTTTGAGTTTAGAGAACAAATATTAACTCAATCCTTTGAGGCATATTCTAAATAAACAGGATAAGTCCACAGACACAAAGGTCAACATGGAGCTTTGTTTATGTCGAAGTAGACATTTAAAGACTTAAAATTCCTGTTATGGTTTAGTCAGATTGGCTACTGTAGGTTACAAGAGCTATTTTTGACTACATTGACAAGAATATATGAGATTCCTTTTTCCGTCATTTCAAAGTTGCACAAATCCCAACAACAGAAATGGTTGTAAAAGACGAGAGAAACGTATACATCGCTTTTATTGACTGTCACCATGAATGATATAATGTGTGTTATGTGTCCTTTGTAACTTTTATTTCACTTTTATGCACCAACGGGGGAGTAGCAGCCTTAGTGTTGTTGTACTTTGTATCACACAGTGACAATAAATGCTTTCTATGCTCTTCTATTCTACACACCAGCACACAAGGGAAAGTCAGGTTAAGGTTGAGATCGATAGTCATATAAGAAAGTAAACACAGAAACTCTTTACAGATAGTATTACATATGGACAGTAGCTGCAGGAGTAGTGAATTTTTCAAAATGGAAAATGAGTGAGAAATGTGTATGTTAATGTTGAATGCAAAACAATGATAAACAAACCCAAAATCTGACGTTGCAGTAACAATGCCAATAAAGACAGAAGAATGTTCTGTATATCAATGGCAGTATTTGATGTTAGACTACACTACAGGCATTAAATGTGCATATGCATCAGGGGTGTGGAAGTAACCTTAAGGGGATAGTTAACTAAAAATTAGGATTCACCCATATCTACCCAACTCAAAGAAACGCTTTTCAAAATTTTTTTTTATGAATTTTAAATGTGGTTCTCAGTTTTGCTCCATTTTCACTGAGAATTTTGGATAAAAATCTACCCATCACTATGCCGATGAAATGGTGGTTGAAGTGTGTTTGAGTCCACAAAACACGTATGGAGTTTCTAAGGTCAACAGTGTTGCAGCCAAATCCAATATTGAAGTAAATGGTGACCACTTCTTCAACATAAAAAACAAAAGAAGAAACTGCAAAAGTGTTTTTTGTAACTCAAACACTTCACTTACTCCTCCATCGGCATAGTGGTGAAAAGATAATGAGTGAATTTTATTATCTGGGTGAACTATCCCTTTAAATGCTGTTAGGAAACAGTTTGCTGGTGCAGAAGCCACTTTTCAATAGATTGTTTTAATTGCTGAATTACTGTGTGGCAGATGGGCAATTACTGACTGAATAATTTCTTTGTCTTGTACTTTCACAATGCAGCTATAAGATAAATGTCTGCATGTATCACCTGATACACCGGCATTGTTGACAAGGATGTGCAGAGCTTTCTCCTCCTTGACAATCCTTTGAGCAAACTCCCTGACAGAGTCCAGAGAAGACAGGTCCACCAGACGCAGGTGGACGTCGGGGTTTCCCGTTTTCTCCCGGATTTCGTTCATTGCTCCCATCCCCCGGGCCTCGCTGCGACAGGCAAGAATGACACGGGCTCCACGTCGTGCAAAGTCCATGGCAATGAACTTCCCTATCCCTAAGAGAGAGGAACAGAAAAAAAAATAAACAACAAGCAACCTCTCTCTCTCGACATAAACCCATATAGGCTGCTTGAGGAAGTTTTGCCTTAAATTAGAACATCTTTACTAAATATGATCAATCTGTCTTTATTAACAGGCATATGTACGACAGTCCTTTAAGGTGAGATTTGAAAATGTCTCTGAGCAGATAGTTGGTTCAAACAGAGTAGAACACAACCTGTTATGCTTTATACATTTATTTACCTGGGATAAATGTCAAGATTTATAATAATTAGAAAATAGTCTAAAATTCATTTTAAAAAAGCAGAGAAAAAATTCCTGATTCACTGTTTCATTGAATTAAGGTGAACTTTCTGTGGAGTCTGGCTTTTTATGCATACATGTATGTGTGTGTGTTTGTGAGCATGTGTGTATGAATGAGACAAGAGAGAAAGAAAACAAGTGTGCATGGTATTTTATCTAACAAAAAGTCCCGACAAAAATATAATCACATCTACGACCTTGATCGGATGATACAATTGCAAAACATTTCACAAACTGGTTTGTGCAGTTGGGACGAATAGTGATAGACCATTATCACTGAAAGATCACCAGATCATTTCCAATGGTAAAATAGAATTTACTTAGAAAACAGAAGATATAGACATGACAAAAGAATGTTTGTGACAAATGTGAATGGATTCCTCGATGGCGTTCAAGAGGTATCATCTTCACAAGGAGAAATAGTTACTTTGTGACCTTGACCTTTGACCACCAAAATCTGATCAGATCATCCCTGAGTCCAAGTGAATATTCGACTCAAATTTGAGGACATTCCCTCAACCTGAAAACACATTGCCTCCACACTGGCTGTCGTCAGTAGAATCAGCAGTGTAGGAAATGAGAGAGGGAAATGTTTGTGCGGATGTGAGTGCATGGAAACTGAGAACCAACACAACATAACCCAGCAGCTGCTCACAGGGAAGGAGTGAGAGAATGAAAGCCAGAACATTATACCCCAGAAACACTTGGCCCAGGTGTTACCAGCTGGCACAGAAGACCCCTGCCCACCCACCCACTCATCCGACATCCAAAATATAGGTAGCCAGAAACAGGATGACAGGAATAAGTGCAGGGATCCACACAGGATGGGAATGGACATGTGTAAGCTAACTACATTAATATTAATTTCATCAGCTTCATTAGGCAAATTCCAACTGGCTCTCCTGGATGTAGACATTTTCTAATCTAAAATAAAATATAGTATTATAAGTACTGTGTCTTGGCTGAATGCTTGATCCCATATGACTTGAGGGGGAGGCAGGGTTTTTTGTGAACCTACACAAATTTGTTCAGTGAATGTATAAAGGGTGTCCCAGATGGCCACACACTGAACACACTGGAAATTGATTATAACTGTTTCAACAGGGACTTCTCCTTGTTCTTCTCTTTGTATAAGGTCAAAGTGTCGTATGGTCATACTGCTACAACAACCTCCCCCTTCACTGTGTGCGCAGACGGACATTAGCCAGTTTTGTGCAAGGTGTAACCTTGATGATTAGATAAACACGTTCTGTATTTATTGATAGAGAAGGACATGAAGAGAGGACCCAAGTTATTCTAACGAAACAGAAACCCACAGTTGGTTTCCTCTACTCACCAGTTCTTGCTGTTTCTTGGTTAATGCTAAACAGCTGCCAAACACATCACATCCAAAAAGTTAAAATCCATGTTTAAGGTCCAAACAAAAATATTGAGTAACTGAGCCTTTGTTCATTTATAGGTCTAGGACTAAGGACTGGATGAATGTTCAGGTTCAGAGTTAAGCAGCAGACGCAGTGGTGTGGAGAAGAACCTGAGAAACTGCAGGTGAATGATTTCTAACTTTAATAACTTTTTGGTAGTGTCTGAGCTGTTACACCGTGATGTTATATTGATGGCTCATGCATTTTGGCTTTATTCTTCTGTTATGAACTTTTTGGAGGATGAAAAAGATGTGACTCACATGCAGTGGCCTTCACAGTCACCAGATGTGAAGTCAACTGAATACATATGGGAGATTTTAGACTCATGTGTTAGACAGCGCTCTCCACCACCATCATCGAAACACCGTATGAGGGAATATCTTGAGGAAGAATGCTGTTAAATCCATCCAGCAGAGATACAGAGACTTGTGGGATCAATGCAAACTGAAGCTGTTCTGGTGGCTCTGTGGCCGGTCAGCATCTTACTAAAATGTTGGTCTTTACTTGAACTTGTTATGTGCTTCTGTGCACCTCTACTTTCACGATGTACATTGCTTTGCTTTTTCAAATCAACATATAAACACACTGAGCTGCATTTTTATATAATGGTGCTGTAAGAAAGTTGAATAAGTAAATGATATATATATGTTCATTTGAGAGGTCAGAGTGAGCAACATCTTGTTTGGTAGGATTCCTCCTTTCTTCCTCCAGATTAAAGAATGTGGCATCAGAGTGTCAGTGGCATATGGGCATGCAGTCTAATCTTACAAATCTAACAGTGCAAACTCCACATCACAAAAAATACAATAGGAATTTAGTACAAAAATATCACTCTACATGCTGTATTCAATAATATATTTAGTATGTAAGTAAAAGGTGTGTCTAAGAAAAAGACTACATCCACTTTTACTGATATTTTCAGTCATATCTGTTTTTAATTTAACAAAACTACTATTCACACAGCAACAGGAGGAAAGAGACAACTTTATCCACTACACCTACAACATGTACAGGCTGTGACAGCCAGAGGAGCTCGGTTATTCTCCTGCAGGATATGACCGTGAGAATGAGGAGCAGTGTCCCATACAACCAACCTGTATTGGCTCCTGTCACTATAGTCGTCTTCCCTCTGAGGTGCACGGTGCAGGCCAGTGGATCCCAGCGCCCTCTCCGCTGAATGCGCACGACCAGCGCCAGCAGCACCGTGGAGATGGCCCACAGAGGGTGACAGAGAATATCGAGCAAAACCATTTCACTATCTGAGCTGAGAGCGTCTGACCCCGAGAACCGAGAGAGCAGCTCCTGAAGTGCGTCCTCTCAAAGTAGGTGTGACTACTGAGTAAGTGTGCCCCTCCCGGTCGTGGAGCTGTGATTCAAACTGTTCCAGTCCGAGGGGAATGCGTCACTGAAAGGCAAAGGTCATATACAGCATTGTAGACCTCATCACTGCTCGGGACATCTAGTTATTATTATCAGATGAAATCAACAGCATAAAAACTTCTCACAGAGAGAAGGATTTTGTCAATCTCCGACAGACTCCACCACATTATCTAACATGAAAACCCATTTACCCTCGTCTTGATAAATAATTCAATTAACTTCATATGCAAAATTTCTCATAATTCAGGGTGGACTCTGGGCATTTTGAAATGAAATAGTTTTGAAAACAAGGTGTTACCAATGAGTATCTGCACTGACAATTAAATACATYTTTTKAAARAATMTT